TTCATCTTACTTGGGTCCATGATCAACACTCATGGAAGCAGCAGTCAAGAAATCAAATGATGTATTGCATTAGGCAAATCTGCTGCACAAGACCTCTTGAAAGTGTTGAAGAGCAAAGATGTCAGCTTGAGGACTAAAGCGTGCCTGGCCCAAGCCATTGTGTTTTCAATAGCCTCATATACATGTGGAAATTGGACAGTGAATAAGGAAGATTGTAGAATAATTGATGCTTTTGAGTTATGGTGTTGGAAGAGAATATTGAAAGTACCATGGACTGCCGAAAGAACAAACAGATCTGTATTGGAAGAAGAGCAACCAGAACGCTCTTTGGAAGCCAGGATGGCCAGACATCGTCTCTCATACTTTGGACATATTATCAGGAGGGACCAGTCCCTGGAGAAGGACATCATGCTTGGTAAAGTGGAGGATCAGCGAAAAAAAGGAAGACCCCCAATGAGATGGATTTGCCAAGTGGCAGCATCGATGGACTCAAGCGTGGCAGCCATCGTGAACATGGCGCAGGACTGGGCAGTGTTTTGTTCTGTTGCACATAGTGTCGATATGGACTGGAACTGCCTGGACAGCACCTAACAACAACAAGTCTGCTCTCCACCATTTATTAGCTCTGTGTCCTTGAGCAGATTGCTTAACGTATCTGAGCTGGTGTGGGATAGCCACAGCACCTACGCCACAGTTTGATGGCATTAGGCTTGTTCCAGAGTCAGTGACCTAATAAAGACTCGAAGAGCTAGCCCTGCAGATACCCAGGGGAAGGGAGCTCAGAGGCAGGTGCAACAGCGACACCTGCAGGAATTCAGGGAGCCAGGTGGCTGGAGCCAAGCAAACAAGAAGACCAGGAGTGTCGATGGGACCAGGAGGGGCAGGGGGCACATTCTGCTTTATTTTCGTGTTGTTTGCCTTAAAAAAAAAAATAGTTTGCTTCTATATATGGGAAGATAATTATTTTCTTACTTATTGCTGCTACAAAGTGCCCCTTTAAAATCAAGTTAGATAAGGAAAAGGTAATTAATTAAACAGAAAGGAAATACGATCCAGTCTGCAAATGAGCGGGGGGGGGGGGGGGGTCTGTTGTGGGATGACTGAGTGAGGAAGCTCTGTCACCCCTCACCTTGTCCTCGCCCCTCACCTTGTCCTCGCTGCACAGCGGGGCTGAGACTTTGAGACTGAACCTCACTGGTGAGCACAGACATCACAACCGGAACTTTCAACTTGCTTCTTGGTCTCAGAGCTTTCGAGTTGGAAGGCTCTTACAGAGCAGCCATCCCCCTATCCCTCACTCCTATTTTACAGATGGAGACACTGAGGCCCAGACAGAGATCCACTGAAGGTCACCCAACAGGCCCACCTGGGCTCCCACTGCCCACAAACCTTGTGCTGGTCCCTCCAACTCTGACCCTCTTTTTGGGGAGTCAAGAGTTGTGAAGAACAAAGGGGTCATGATTTTCATCTGATTCAACACCCCTGCAACCCCCCTCCCAAATCCAGGGTAGCCACTTCTCCCCAGCTCTGAGGATCCTCTTCTTTTCTGGTTCCCCTCACGACTTTACATGGACAATCTCTGATCCTCCATGTGTTGGAGGCAGTAGACGGGGAGGTAAGGAGGGGGCAGAGGGCATGAAGCAGGCACCTGGCCCAGGGGGCTGCCCTGGCAGTTGGCAGGGACAGTGAGTAGACCCGGATCATTCTCTGGACTACCAGGGGCAGCTCTGGCCAACCAAGTCAGGTTACCGAGGGATGGGGCCAGGAGGTTCCTATTGTGTCTGGGGAGATGTGGGGACAGGCAGTTCTAGAATAACACAGTCTGTCTCCTTTCTGGTCACTGCCCCTTAGGGAATCAGCCTGTGTCTGTGTGGGGAGAGGGGACCGGGGTGCCCTGGCCTAGCCTCCTCACCTCTGCTCTTGCTTGTCTCCCAGGTCATTTTGAATTACATCTTCATAGGTGGGTGGAAGCTCCATTGACAGACCATTGAGTTTCAGTGGTGGTGCATCAGGAACTAGGGACGAGTCGTCCATCTCCTGAAAGAGAGGAAACAGCTTGTCCCCAACGCATTACCAGCTCACTGGCTGAAGTCTCAAGATCCCAGTGGATATGAGGAAATGGAGGCTCAGAGAGACAGGTGGCTTCAACGAGATTATTGGAAACCACAATGGGTCAAGGTCAGCTGGATGAGGAGAGACTTGTCTTCCATTTCAAAACACATCACTGTCTTGTGGAGTTGCAGAGTAGAAGGGATGCACAGGACTTTCTTGGCTGTGACTTTTTGGACCCAGATTGTCAGGCATTTCTTTCACAGCATGGCTGGGAGGGTTTGACCCACCAACGTCTAGATGAATAGCCAATTGACCCAATTAATACCCAGGAACTATCTTTCTAAATGAACCTCTTTAAAACCTGATGTCCTTGACTAGTTGGTCCACATGCTTTTAGATCCCCAGTTGATCTTTCTGTCTTCCCTGACAGCAGACAAGAGCTTGGCCTGGGTCAGACATACCTTATTCTGAGCGCTGGCTCCTGGTTAGTCACTTGTTCCCACCATGGCTAGAATCCACAGTCTAGAATCCATAACTGCCCCAGGGCCTTCCCTGTCCTGTCTCTGAGCCATCGCTCATACTGTTCCGTCTCCCATGTGCCCCTGAGAGTCTGAACCCTGCCATCTCCTGGAACACTCGGAGTTGGGGATACTGTACCTGCTGTTGAGAGCCTGTAGATTTTGGTTGTTATGGGTTGAATTGTGTCCCCCCAAATGGCTATACCTGTGAGTAAGGAGCTCTTGTGGCGTGGTGGCTAAGCACTTGTCTGGTCTGTGGCTCAAAGGCCAGGTGGCCTGACACAGTAAAGATCACAGCCCAGGAAACCCTCGGGGACAGTTCTGTATCCTACAAGGTCTCTATGAGTTGGCACCCACACAACGACACACACACAACATACCTGTAAAGGTCATCTTATTTGGAAATAGGGAGTCTTTGTTATGTTAATGAGCCACCTCAGTGTAGGGCGTGTTCCTTCTGAGCTGTCAGGAGCAGCACAGACACAGAACAAGAAACACAAGTGGGGAAGGCAGGTCTCTGTGAAGGGACCAAAGAATTGGGGGCCACCAAAGCTGGCATTCTGAATTTGGACTTCTAGCCTCCTGAGCTGAGAGTACATTTCTGTTCTTTAAAACCACCCACTGTGACCTATCTCCTCTGTACACAGGGTTGATAGGGACAGACAACTTAGACATCGGCTTCTTAAAATGGGGGTGGGTGGGGCTGTAAAGGCACGAGGAGTCCTGGTGTGGCATTGTGAGTTAATGCACTGGACTGCAAGGTCAGTTTGAACCATAAGGTAGGCAGTCCAAGCTCACTAGGAGCTCCTCAGAAACGCTATACAGTGTTGCTATGGGTTGGAACCAACTTGATGGCACTTCACAACACAATAACAACATAAAGGCATGAAGTGACTGGCTTACAAGTTTTCAAGAGGGAGTCTAGTTTCAGAGTGTGCAGGGGAAGGTAGAAACCCCACTGAATAGTTTTCATCTTGTCTAGACAGGTCTGGTGAAAGGAGATGGGATAGATAGGATTCTTATAATTCAATAGTGAGTAATTGTATCATGACTAATTGCAGTTGTCACAAGTGTAAAAGTAGAAGTTTTGTAACAAAACGAGGGGAGTAGTTAATCTTAAATTCCAGGAACAGAGGACCCTAGGACCGTCAAGGAAGAAGAGCATAAGCAGAATGCGGGACCTTATCCAGAGAAGCAGCAACACCAGAGATAGAGGCAGAGATGGGGACATGGAGAGAGGGAGCAGCTGAAGACTCTGGACTCATGGAAAGAGACAGGCTGTGTGTTGGTGGCCAGGAGGCAGGCTTGCAGAATGTGCCCTTTGGTTGTGTAAATGATCATCTATTCCTGAGTGTTTTTGTGTACATCAAAAAACAAAACAAAACCAGAGGGAGTGAAAGCAAATACTGTTGCATGATGATGCATGTAGGGGATTGTAATCATTGCAATGAAATGAAAGATGATATGATGAGTATAAAACCAATGTTTTTCCATGTAAACTATCACTCAGTTCACAATAAAAACTTAACAAACAAACAAACCACCCTCTGTGGTATTTCAGCGACAGCATCCTCAGGAAACACAGACAGTGGCCCACATTTTCACCTTGAGTGACATGGCATCCTCTTTCCTGAACCCTGCCTCCCAACTGGCCTGAGAGTGGCCTCTAGTTGTGGTTCCACAAGATCAATGCTCAGCAGATGTGGGAGTTGCCTCCCCTTCAAGCCCTCTGTCACCGTTGCTCTCAGGAGGACCCTCACCTCAGTAGACAGGTAGCTGGCCCTCCAGGTCACCATGGCTGTTGGCCCTGTCAGGAAGAGCTCCAGGAAGGTGAAGCACAGCAGGACCAGCTCCAGCCTCTGGATGTGGACCTGGGGCAGGGAGGAGGAGAGAGGGCTGGCTGGGTGTCTGTACACACCATGAGGGTCACGGCAGGACAGAGGGAAGGAGGGGGGGTGGGCTTGTGTGGGACTGCGGCTGGTTCTGTCTCAGACACTGTCCTGTGCCTGGCGCAGAATGGGTCCTTCAGTGAATGTTTGCTTCTTTGAGGCCCAGAAAATCTCATGGTCCCCAGTCATACTGAAGGTGACCTCAGGGATCATCTTCTACAGCCGGCTTGACAGATGAGGCCCAGAGAGGAGGGAGGTCTTTTCTAGTAGGTGACGGGAACAGCTGGGCTGAAGACAACCACCCATCTGGAACACCTCACAAGGCCATAAAGCGTGTGTGTGTGAAAGTACATACATATGCATAGGTCTGTGCATGCATGCACTTGTGTACATATGTGTGTGCATGTATATGTGCAGATGCACGTATGTGAGCATGACAGGGGTTAGCATTAGCTAACCATTCTGGAACCTGACCCAGAGGCACCCAGTCACCCTGCTGGAGTGGCAGATCCTCTTCTGCTCCTTCTCTAGGGGAGGCAGCTGTGTGGGGATGAAAAATGTGGCAGACTCGGAGTCCTAGACTTAGTTTTGGATTTTCACTGCACCTCCCAGCTTGCTGGTTCCCTTGGCCCACTAACTTAACCTTTCTGAATCTCAGTGTTGGCAAGTCTCACGGAGTGGTGGTGGTTATGGGGCTGTGATAGTTCAACAGACAAGGATGGGGAGTCATCAGTTCTAGGTGGGCTCCAGGATTTGATGTTTACTTACTGCCCCACTGCTCGGGGCCTCAGTTTCCCCATCTATGAAGCTGGACTCAGTCCCTGGTGCAGACCCTGTGAGAAGTCAGACAGCCCCCTTCTGCCATGCTATGGTGAACCTAAGGCACCCCTCCTCAGCTGGGACTCCCAGGGCCTGGTACTCACTGTGGAGTAGGGGTAAGGTATCCAGATCGGGCTCTCAAATGGACTCTCCAGAAAGAAGTCCTTGGTGATAACAAAGCAGCCAGCCAGCACACAAAAGAAGCTGATGAGACACGTTGTCAGACACAACGCTTTCTACAGGAAAAGCAAATCAAGTTAACAGCTGTCGGTCAAAAGTCAAGAACCTGGGTCCAGGCCCCAAACCTGAGAGAGCCAAGCTGCTGACCATTGAGGACCCCAGACAGGACTGGGGGACTCCACTGCTGTCTCCAGACCTAGAGCTTTGCAACAGATGACCCCATAACCCGAACCATCCCAGATCAGACATGCCAACTCACCAGGGACTTGACACAAAGTGGCCCCTGCTCTGCCCTGGTCCACCATCCTCTGTTACAGGATGGAGTCTGAACTTCAGGGACCCCTAGCTCCCCGGGCAACATAGTGGATGCTGAGCTGGGTTGCTAAATGCAAGGTCAGTAATTCGAATCTACCAGTTTCTCCTTGAGAGAAAGATGAGGCTTTCTGTTGCTGTCAACATTTCAGGGTCACCATGAGTCGAAACTGACTTGGTGACACACTACCGCCAACCCTTTTCACTAGAATTAAGTTCTTTGCAAAAAAAAAAAAAAAAGGTCCCTGGTGGTCAGATGTAGGAATGGCAAGGCGGGCTATGGTTCTGAAAGGGGCCCATCCCAGGAGGGAAGTATGGAGAATGGGCATGCCTTTGCCAAGTCTTTCCTGCTTTTCTCAGGTAAACCATACAAATGCCCACTTCATTCCAAGCCAGGCCCCTGAGAAGGCAGGGAACCAGGCAGCTGAAGGAGCTCCAGGCAGGGAGGATTTCTGGAATAGAGGTGTGGGAGAGGCAGGAGGACCACGTCATGGGTTTAGGGCATCAAGCATGAATTCCTTCCATCATTCTTCCAGTTTTGTGTACGTTGTTCACTCTGTACCTACCTGGGCTTCCTGGGTTACAAAGATGCCCAGGTACCTGCTGTCCATGCATAGCTTAGTGCATGGGGATGACAGACAGGGAAAACCCTAGAAGCTATGGGGACACGGAATCCATCATTGTAGTGCAGGGGAGAATTCCAGAGGGACAGGACCTGCAAGCTGAGTCTTGAAGAATGATCAGGATTAAGTCAAAAATAGGTGAGCCGTGATCAGTGTGGAGGGGGAAAGGGGGTGGGCAGGGGTGACCTCAAAGGGAGGACAACCATTCTGCCACTCAGGAGAAGTGAATGGAAGCCAGCCCAGGGCACTGGGAAGTCGTGATGGGTTGGGATACTTTCTGGCTCTACCCCTCCTGCATACTCATTGCTACCTCCCTAGGAGCTGAAGGTAGAAGGTAGAAGGTTAATTGATGGGTTCGTTCTCAGTCACAGCCAGTACATAACTGGTTCCTTTTGTGTGAGCGCCCTCTGCTGTCAGAGAGCAGGAGCCTGTCCTTACAAACCCTTACTGTTGACCTTCTAGTGACTGTCAGTTACCAGACGTGGGGAGGAAGAAAATGATCTTGATGCTTCAACTCACCAGGTATGTTTTACCACATATTCCTCTTGCTATCGCCACGATACCTGAAATGAGGAACTGCGGGCCACATTTGAAACGTCATAAGAGAGAAGATTGCATTCTTTAAAATCCACACATTCCCTTCCCTCCCCTTTCTTGAAGGAAACCAACCCCGTGACTGATGGAACAGGAATGTAGAGTCAAGTGCTTCCTGCCTGCCTCCCCATCCTATCACTTCTCATCAGCCTCTCACAACCCCCATCTCCACCCCACCTTCACACCTTGCATTCAGCTGTATGATGAGAACACCCTTAATGAGCCTCATTTTACAAACCAAATCGATCCCTGCATGCTTAGCTGCTAACAGGAAGGTTGGAGGTCCAAGTCCACCAAGAAATGACTTGGAAGAAAGACCTGGCAATCTACTTCTAAAAACACAACAAACATAACCAGCCATGGGAAACCCTGTGGAGACAGAACTGGCTTATCCAGTCCACTGGGACCTGCTGCCCTAGCCCTCCACCCGGAGCCTTTCTCGTTTTCAGAATCCTGCAGTATGGAAGAGATTAACTCTTGGTTCTAAGGTTTCTGGACTCTTTCTCCAGTTAGTCTTTGAAACATTTGAGAAACACCTCCTAGGGGCCAATCCTGGAAATACAAGTGTAGACAGTTGGTCTCACCTTGTGGTTCAAGCTTGGCACTGGGGGCAGTGGGAAGGAAAGCAAGGGAAGGAAATGACAACAGGACCCAGTGGTCAGCCCCTTCCCCAGATGGCACCTTAGAGCTGGGGCTTAGTGCTAACTAACTCCCCCAGTGGAGACTCGGGCTGCAGAGTTGGGGACCAGCTGTGATACTGTGTGGAGACCTGGGATAAGAGGCTGACTGCTCTTGTCTCCCATCTGGCTGTTGGTTTTGTGTGCTTTTATATGTGTTTCCACAGATTGACCTGACAGGGACATCTGGCTGCAGGGACCTACTGCTAGATCCTAAGGCAACCTGACTGCTCAGAGGCCTATGGGGGGATCCACACCCCAGGTTCATGCTCACCCTCCTCACCGCTGTTGTTGTTGTTAGGTGCCATTGAGTTGGTACCGACTCATAGCGACCCTGTGCACAACAGAATGAAACCTACCCGCTTCTAACACCAACCTCATAATTGTTGCTACTGGGGCATACATTTCACTGAAGGGAGAGACTGGGGAGTCAGGCAGGCTCTGTGCTCTCTGGGACTCAGGACTGGTGTTCCCCCTGCCTCCTTGCCCAGGAGGAAGCCAGGTCCCAGGGCAACTGAGACCAGATAGAGAGGAGACCCAGAAAGGGGCTGGCTTAGGGTTCCGGTCTAGCTCACTCCTGCCTGCCCTGCATCCAGTCCCAAATCCCATGGACCCCTCCCACCCTTGTTTTGGCTCCTACTCACAGAGGCAGCTCCCCAGAAGGGATACCAACATCTCACTACCACCAGGTGTAGGTTCTTGACAGCAACGACCAGGTAAGCTCCGAGACTGAGGTGCACCAGGGCCAGGAAGATGTGGGCGGCCTGGGCAGGAGAGGAGGAAACAGGTAGAGTTAGGAGGTTCTGCATGGACCCTGGACCACCTGGCAGCTGTGAACCGCCTTCCTGTCCTCCTTGGGACTGTGGTGGAGTTTCCTGCAGGGAGAGCAGAGCCTGCCAAAACCCCCACCACTGGGGTCTCATCTCTGATTGCTTGGTGCCATCTAGGCTCAGGCCGACTTCCCCTTAGCTCTCAGTACTGTTTCCAGTTCTGAGATGAATGTCAAACCAGGAAGCTGGAGGCATTCTCACCTTCCTCTCCCTCCTCAGGGCTCCCCAGATGCCCTCCCTGTTACCCCCTCCACTCCCCTTCCTCGCCCAGGGCACAGGCCTCACCCCCAGCAGCCTGATAAGGCTGCGCTGCCTCTTCCAGGTCTCCTTCTGGTGCCAGCTGGGAGGCAGGATGTCTTGCTGGGTCAAGGGGGGTAGACTGAAGGCCTGCTGTGGTGGGAGCCCGCTAGCTTTGGAACTGGGAAGATCTGCAGATACGCCGATGGTTTTAGCAGCCATTGGCTCTGGCAGAGGAGAAAGGCCAGGTCATGGTCAGAGTGTGTCCATTTCTGGAACTCTGTCCTTGGAGCCCTGGAATGACCTAGCCCCTGGGGAGGGGGAGAGACCACTCAGAGTGCCTGTAAGGTTATAGGGACACAGCTCACTCCCAGGAGGTAAGTGAACCCAGAAAGCGGAGGCGTCCAAGTCAGGGAATGGCTTTGCGCTGGAGAGGGTGACCTTGGGTAGGTTGTGAACTCTTAGTGTCTTGATCACCCTGTAACATGGAGGGGAGTAGTGCCATCCCGCCTGGTCAGAGCTACGAGGATTAACGCTAATCACGTCTGCACTCGTTCACCATGTGTCACACTCTTCTGCCACAAGTCACACCAGATTTCCAGTGTCACACTCGCCTACAGCATGCTAGCTACATCAGCCTGCACATGCTTGGGTCTTGTCAGCCAGGCTGTACATTGTCTTCATCAGGGTGTGCGTGTGGGCTGAGCCTATTGTCCCCTGCCTCTGCTCACAGGGGGATGAAAGTGCCAGAGTCTGAGTGCTCTGGGTTCCTGGCTAGGACCCTGATGTGGGGAAGGGTGGAGAAGGGCACTGAATGCGGAATCTGATGTCGGGAGTGTTCTCTATGGAGCTCTGAGCTGGACCCCACAGGACTTCACACAGGGATGTATAAACCTTCCCGGGGGCTCATGGTCCAGCAGGCAGAGACAGACAAGCTGGACACATGTCACGTGACCTTAACCAGTCTGTCCCCCACTCGTCTTAGTCAGCTAGTACTGTGGTGGCTTGTGTGTTGCTATGATGTCACCAGTTTTTCATATACCATCAGGGTTACTCACAATGGACAGGTTTCTGCAGTTTCCAGACTAAGAAAGAGTAGGAAGAAGGGCCTGGCAATCGATTTCCCTGTGGATCACAGAATATTGCATGACAAAGTTCTGGAAGATGAGCCCTAGGTTAGAAGGCACCCAGAACACACAGCCCAGCAACAATGGGCTCGAGCACACCAACGCTCATGAAATGGAGAAGGACTGCTGTACCTGGGGTTGCCATGAGATGGAGCTGACTCAGTGGCAGCTAGTGGCAGGCTGTCTTTACTGGGGAAGCCTAGATGACAGAGAGAGCTTCTGAAGCTATGTGTGTGCATACATATATACCCACAAGCATGCATGTGTGTCTGTATATGCATGGATGTCATGTGAAGGTGTGAGTGCATGAATGCATGTGTGGCTGTGTATGTATAAATACGTATTGGTGCCCATGCACATGTGAGTGTATAACTGCACATGTGCTGTACACGTGCATGCATGTGCATGCTAGTACAAGAATACATTGTGTTTTGACACACAAATGTATGTGTACACACATTAATACATGAATGCATGCATGTGCATGTGAGTACATGAAGGCATGTGTGCCTGTATACATATGTATGTGCATTCATGTGCTACTATGACATGAATGCATGCATGCGTCTCTGTGCACACATGTGTGTTTGCATGTGCACGTGAGTACATGAATACATGCACCTGTGCTTGGGATGTATGTCCAGGCATGTATGAGCACATGAAAACATTGTGTCTCTGTGTACATGTGTGTATGCATGTGTGCGTGCAAGAATGCACTTTTCTGGGCACATGCATACAGGTGTGTGTGTTCACATGTGCCTATGTGCACATGCACACATGTGAACACAGAAATATACTTAATATATGTGCATGTATGTGAGCATGCATGTGTAAGTACACAAATGGATGTGTGTTGGTGTGTTGCACACACATGTGAGTACATGAGTGTGTGTCTCTGTGTGCGTGCTTGTGTTGTATGCACATACACACACGTGAGCACACAAATGCATTCAAGATATGTGTATATGTGAATATATGAATGTATTGTGTCTCCATGTGCTGCACATGCATGGATACACAAACAACGTGTCTGTGCATATTTGTGTATGTGTGCACATGTGTCTGTCTAAATGTGTATGTATGCACACACACGTGTGCAAGCACACAAATGCATGTGGTATATATGCATGCACTGTGTTTGTGGGTACACGAATGCACATGTGTCTGCACATGTTCACACATGTGTGTGTACACAAATGCATGTGCATACAGGAGCACATGCATGTGAGGCAGAGAAGGACAGGTATTGAAAGGCACTGAGTTGTACAGGTGACAGAGAGCTGGTGAAGGAGACCACCAGGTAGACAGTTTAGTGGATTAGGGTTTCAATGTTTGCTAATGACAAGACAGACCCTGAGTGTGCCCAGGCCAGCCTGCTTTTGGCACCACAGGGTGATGCACCTGGCTTAAAGATAGAGTTACTTGCAAGGACCCAGGGGGCCTACAGAGACCTGGGGTCTAGCCTTTTCCCCTTGCTGGGCCTTGGCTTCCTGCAAATGGTCTGTGTGTGAGTCTTGTGGATTGAGACAGAAGTGGCCGAGGCTCCTGGAACACAAATGTCCTGTTACCCGGGAGGCAGGACAGGGCTCTAGGAGAATTCCTTCCTGGAGACACTTGCGCCCCCTCCCCAGGTCTCTTTACTGTGTGGGGAGCCCCTTTATTGTGGGGGGAGTTTCCTGGATTAAGGTGCTTGGCTGGTTCTCCAAAGATTGGAGTTTGAGTTCATCCAGTAGTACCTAGAAAGAAAGACCTGGCTTCTACTTCAGAAAAAGCAGCAACTGAGACCCCTGTGGAGGCTCAGTTCTGTTCTGACACTGAGAACCCTGTGGGGCCCAGTTCTGTTCTGACACTGAGACCCCTGTGGGGCCCAGCTCTGCTCCAACACTGAGACCCCGATGAAGCCCCGTTCTGCTCTGACACCCATGGGGAAGGACGCAGAGCTGTTGCTCTCTGAGAGGTTAAGTGACCCACCTGGTGCTGTTGAAGGAGCCCTGGTGGCACTTCAGGTTAAGCACTGGATTGCAAACCACAAGTTGGCAGTTTAAGCCCACCTGTCTCTCTGAGAGAAAAAGATGAGGCTGTCTGCTCCGTAAAGATTTACAGTCTTGGAAACCCTAACAGAGCGCTTCTAGTCTGCTCTATATAAGGTCACCATGAGTCTGGCTCGACTTGATGTCGGTGGGTTTGTTTTTGTTTTTGTTGCTGTCAAGTGGATTGTAACTCCTAGTGACTCTTTACGATGGAGTAGAACTGCCCCATAGGGTTTCTAAGGCTGTAAATCTTTACAGAAGCTGACTGCCATGAAGTGGCTGGAGGTTTTGAATTGTTGGCTCTTTGGTTCACAGCCAAGCACTTAACCAATGCACCACCAGGGCTTCTTTGGAGCTTAAGTTGTCCCCCCTCCGATCTGTAGCTGATGTCTAAGTGGTATGAAACTGGGGTAGTAAAGGTGGACAAGTGTGTGGGCAGTGTGGCTTCCGAGCCCTGTGGTATCAAGCGGAGCCAATGGACAGCTGAGACCACATTGTAGCTCAACTGCTCTCCTGCCCTGTTTCCTCACTGTCCTCCCAGGGTCCTTCCTCATGAATCAGTGGGCTGCCAAATCCTATCTCAGGTTTCTGCTGTGGGGTCCACTCACCCAGTTCCTGGGACGTCCACTTAGAGCTCTCAGCCTTGCTCTGCCCTCTGCAGCTGTCCCAGCCCTAGTGAGGCTGTGCTGGACAGCCCCATGATATCAGAACATCTTTACAACACCAGACTTTGGATCTTCTTCCCTCCCCCGGCGTCACACCCTGATGCATGTGAGCTATCAGAGACTCACCCCCAAAGCAGGGCCGGTGAAAATCCTGTTAGTGTTCTGTAGTTTGGCATGTTGCTTTGGTAAATAAATTATACCATGGGTTTCCAGAAGAACAAATACATCTATCTTGGAAGAATCACAGCCAAAAACTCCTTGGAGGTGAGGAGGGCAAAACTCTGTCTCTCATACTTCGGACATGCTATCAGGAAGGATCAGTCCCTGGAGAAGGACACCATGCTTGCTGAAGTGGAGGGTCAGTGATAAAGAGGAAGACCCCCAAGGAGATGGATTGACACAGTGGCAGCAGTAATGGGCTCAAATGTAATAATTATGTAAGGATGGCACAGGACCGGGTAATGTTTCATTCTATTGGACACGGGGTCCCTATGAGTCAGAGCCAACTGGTCTGCATCTAACATCCACAACAATAACAACAAATACAATGCTAGCAGTTCAATCTATTGACAGCTGATATGATCTTCACAGAGTCAGAGGTTGAGCCTTTTGAAAGAGTCTTTGAATTTTGCAAGATTTAAAATATTCACAAAAGTAGAGAGAAAGCTTTACTGAGCCCTCATGTCCCACCCCCAACCTACAGCCGCCATCCGCTCTGGGCCAAGCTTGTTCATCTATTTCTACTCCTTCTTCTTCCAATGGTAAACAAATCTCAACCACCCCACCATTTTCTTTGTATTGATTTGTAGTATTGATCAAGTACTTATTCAACCTGTATGCTGAGCAAATAATACGAGAAGCTGGGTTCTATGAAGAAAAACGTGGCGTCAGGATTGGAGGAAGACTCATTAACCACCTGCGATATGCAGATGATACAACCTTGCTTGCTGAAAGTGAAGAGGACTTGAAACATTTACTGATGAAGATCAAAGAACACAGCCTTCGGTATGGGTTGCATCTCAATGTCAGAAAAACAAAAATCCTCACCACTGGACCAATAAACAACATTCTTATCAACGGAGAAAAGGTTGAAGTTGTCAAGGACTTCATTCTTCTTGGATCAACTATCAACACTCGCGGAAGCAGCAGTCAAGAGATCAGATGACGTATTGCATTAGGCAAATCTGCTGCACAGGAACTTTTTAAAGTGTTGAAGAACAGAGATGTCAGCTTGAGGACTAAGGTGCGCCTGACCCAAGCCATGGTATTTTCAATAACCTCATATGGATGCGAAAGCTGGACAGTGAATAAGGAAGATCATGGAAGAATTGATGCCTTTGAGTTGTGGTGTTGGAGGAGAATACTGAAAGTGCCATGGACTGCCAAAAGAACCAATAGAT